GGTTATCAGCAAGTACTCCAGTCACCTGCCTCTTCCTAGAGGAAGAAGACTCTGAGGCAAGATTCCTGGAGAATGGCGACAACTCACTGCTTCAGCTGTCAGGATTTCACCTCCAAAACCTTCCTGGGGAATTGCTGCTCTGACAACACATCCACTGCCCTCTCCCAGAGTAGTCCATAAGGGAAGAAAATGAAAAGGGGGAGGGGGGGAAGGAAATTAAAAAAAAAAACACCAACAGCATTTTCAAAAGGGTGCTTCCAGTCCAAGCACTATTGTATTTTACAGTCATTTTAGCTAAGTGTTTTAATCCATCTTATCATGGTTTCAAACTGCTTTCAGAGCCCCAAGTGTTCTGATAGGGTGTAATGTCTTGGCAGGAAACCACCCTTCCACCACAAGAAAGCAAAGCCCATAGAGCTTGGGAAGAAGTGAGAACAGCACACACACCGCTTCAAGCCAACAGATGGGCAAGTCAGCACACAAAACTCAAACCCAATGCTGTTCTCCACAACACCTCAATTTTCAGGGCCTCAGCAAGCACAATCAATCACAAGCTCTAAAACAGAGACAAGCTTCTGCCCACAGCTCTGGCTGCTCAATAACAGCAGCAGCTTTGTTATGCAGATAGCGAGCAGCAGTACGCAGTAGGAAAGCTCTACTGTACAAAGGTTAAGTGAAGTTTCTCTCTGAGCCTGTACTATTCTCTTGATACTGCAGATAGTCCACGCTGTACATTCACCACTGCTTTATAACCTTGGGTTCTTCAATTTTAGCCTGAAAACCCCATGAAAACTAGTCATAGCACCGGCCTCTCAGAATCAACAAGTCAGGGAGTCCCCATCCCTGGAAGTGTCAAAGCCAGGTTGGATGGGGCTCAGATTGGTCTACTGGAAGGTGTCCCTGCCCATGGCAAAGGGGTTGGAACTGGATGATCTTGAAGGTCCCTTCCAACCCAAGCCATTCTGTGATTCCATGATTTGCAACTTCCATATTTTAACTTCAATACTTTGAATAATGCAAGACTGAGCTCTTGAAGCAGCTAGGTCCAAATAACAAACATCTCCTGAGGAATTCACTGCTCCACCAGCCATAGCTGCAAGAGCTCAAAGACACCCTTTGAGCTGCTGGAAAATGAAAGAGGCACTTCTGCTAGGAGGAACAGGTAAGAGTTCATCTCCATCACTGCAAACATAAGCCAATTAAATGCAGACCCAAAACATGAGGGGAAAGAAGGATGAAAGGTAAGTTCCATCATATGGAAATTAAAAGGTCGCTGTCTTAAGTCACATATGATTATTAGATGTTTTAGTTAACTCAGCAGTAGAACTGGGTAGAGAAAGGGACTGACATTTGGGGGCAGGAGGGAGGTGTTTTAAAAGTTATTTTAATTATAAATCAAGAAAAAATCCAACCCACCCTTCCTTTATTCACAAGAACAGAACCTAATCCCACAACTGCATATGCTCATCTCCCAGCCTGCTATTGGCAAAGGGGCAAACAAGCTAACAGAGAACAAGGCAGCCTTCTAGCTGGATTCTGTCACACTATTAGAAACCAGCCAGCTCAGAAAGCTTTCGTTACGTCACACCACCTAATCACACTGAACTTTACTTTCTGACCAGCTTGTGCATGTTTAAGAACCTTCCCCTTCTAACTGCCACGTGTCCCAAGAAGACAGGCAAATAATAGCACAAAAGATGCCCAAGTGACTGGAAGACGTCCTTCCCCTTGCCCCACGTTTCCAAAACAGCCCGTTCAGCACTCCGAGATGATTGTAGAGACCCAAGTAGAACATTCTACAGCAATCGCTCCTGTTCCACATGCAGGGGGAGCCACCTGCTGCATACGTGCCACTTCAGGTTTACAGCACAACCATAAAAATGATGGTATTAAGGACTTCTAAACTGCTCCACTAGACCAGAGCACATTCAAAGTGCATTTTCTTGTGGACAATGGTGAAAAAACGAGCCTGAAGGAGGCCTTTGTGGTACACCTTCACCATAAGAAAAGCTGTCCCTGAAGCCCTATTGTTTAGCACTTAGCCAACATCCTAAAAGCCTGAGAGCTTACTTTTTTTCCCAAAAGTAACACCCAAATACAAACCTTCAGTATTAGAAACCTGAATAACACGATCATTTCTAGAGAAATCTCTGGTCCCTTTTAGGGAGGTTGCTAAGCTCTTCAACCCAAGGGTAACTTCCAGCTGTTCAAAGGAACAGCTAAGTCTTGTGTTGAAAAACGAAGAGGATTTATTAGTGGGATATGCTTTATTACATTTTCATCGATTGTTGTCTTTGTCTCGAAGGACAGGAAATAGGTTTTTCTATTCCTCCTATTACCCTTCGCTCTAGTATTGATCAATGCCTTCTATTTCTTTCTTCAGCGAAGGTAAACAGTCTTCTCTCTGGGGAAGCCTGTCTAGGTCTTCAATAATTACTCCTGTTCAAGCTCCTTATGTGGCAAGAACAGTCGCAAACTTTCTGTAAGCAGGAACCATCTTCACTATTTCCTCTAGATCTCCCACTCCTCCTCCTCTTGACAGCTTCATGGTGTTTCAGGCAGCTTTCATAGCCTGAAACCACTCCAGTCCCTTTCCTGGATCACAATTCACCAGAACCCAGACACACGCATGTTCTCCCAAAGCCCTCCTTCCACTACGTGCTTCAGTTGCCAAGACTGAATTAGTCCTCATGGAGCCCCTGACGTTTCAAGCCACCATGATCATCCAAACAAGACCCATCGTAATTCACCCACGGTACAGGAGCACAGTACCAGCCTCCTCACACTCCTACCCGTGGTGCCCATACAGCCTGAACCAGCAGAGGCACAGCAAACACAAACCTGGAGCCAAGCCGACCCTTGCAGACAGTGACAGCCACTTAATGCCGCTGCGAAGTGTGTCAGCACCGTACGTGTGTGTGTGCATGGGGAGACGGGATGTGCTGCAGCAGGGACATAGCGGAGAGAAGGGGGAACTGTGTGGGCTACATGAGGGGATGGGGTGTTGTGGGGACTGCACTGGGACCTTGTGGGGAGGCACGGGGGGTACGTGTGTATGTACGAAGGCCACACAAGAGGGAACGTGCGTGACGGGTCAGGCTGTGGGGGCCGCGTACGTGGAGAGGGAACATCGGGGGCCGCACACGGGGAAGAGGAGGGGACGGGGCACACGCATCGGGGGAACGTGCGCGGGCTGGCCGGGGGAATGGGGAGAAGGGCTGAGAGGGGGCCGCACCGGGAGGGCACGGGGCTGCGGGACCTCATCGGGGGGACCGTGAGGGCCACGCCGGGGAAAGGGAGGAGGGACTGTGGGGTGGGGAGATGGGGAGCGGAGGTCGCGACCGCAGCGGGCGACGCGAGCGGAAGGTGAGTTTGTGGGCACCTTACCGAGCACCTCTCCCCGCCATCGAGGCCCCTCAGCCCCCGCCACGTCTTACCTGCCGGCGGGCGGGGCTCGGCTCAGCTGGTCCCAGCCCGCTGGGGTGAGGAACGGTCGGGTCGGGTCGGGTCGGGCCCTGCCCCGCTGCCCGGCGGGCGGGCGCCGGCACCGGCGCGGGGGCGCTGCGGGCCTCAGGAGCCCATGGCGACGCCGGGCCCACCCCGGCCCTCCGCGCCTGCGCACGGCGCGCCACGCCCACTCCCCGAACAGGGTGACGTAACCTCCCCGCTCTTAAAGGGGCAGCTCCCCGCAGGCCGGGGAGGGGAGTAGCTGTGCTCAACTGACCCGCGGGTGGTTGCGCTTCCCTCGGAATGTCCAGCGCTCCAGCAGCTCTGTCCCCCTCCAGGCCGGCTACGAGCAGCGCAGCCCTAAGGAAGAGCCGCACAGATTTCCACCTCTACCTCAGAACTGGTTTTCCCAAAGTTCCAAGGAAAAGCATACATGTAAGGTGCACCTTTGCTCAAGCCAGAACAGGGGAGTTTCAACATAAATGAATAATAGAACCCCAAACACAAGCTCTAAAACCTTTAGTACACAAGCACCCTGCTTGCATGGAGGACCGTGGTAGCAAGAAGAGGCAATAGCCCATCCAAAACATGCAGGATCAGGCTTTCTGCTGCCCTTCTTTTCAAAGAGATGCACCGACGCGGCTCCTACTCCGTATCTCCCAAACCAGTCCCATTTACTTTTGATCCCTCAAAAAACAAACTCAAAATGGAAGCAGAACTAGAGGCAACAGGACAATACCCTGTGTTGCCCTGAACTACCCTCCTTCGCTCATCTGCAACAGGCAACTGAAGGAGCAGCTCTTCCTGCTCAAGCTGACTTGGAAGAGCTTGCAGAGTCACCAAGATCCAATCATTTATTCCCAGCAGCTGTTTCTGGAGGAAAAAAAAACATCAAAACCCAACTGAAGCGTTACACAGCCTACAAGAAACAGGCCTCTTGTCTCAGTACCCCAAGGAAGCATAACGATAGGGACAGCACTTTAGAAATAAATCAGAATTAAAACATAGTAATTTACTACCGTACAGGTCAAGCAATCAAAGAGAAACACAAAGCACACCACTGCAGACACCAAAGCAGCACCTGCCACTTTATGTTGTTGTCATCTGGTGCTTGAGGCTGCTGCTCCAACCCTTCTCCTTTCCCCTTCCTCCATGATTTAAGTCTGGGGACAGCAGAAAGCAAGGGAACACAAACCACAGGATCCCCCTCTCTCAAACTCGGTGCACATGGAAAGTCAACAGCATGGAAAGGTCCCATCCCTCTCCTCCGGAAGGCCAGACGCATGGGACGGCGGAGGCTCAAATCCAGGAACCGAGTGACCCTGAATCAGGTTTCACATAGCTGTTCTCACTGTTCCAAGGCCGCAGTGGCAGAGATCTGCCCGGGTTTATTTTTAGGCACTTCCAGCCCTGTGTCTTTTTTCCAGTAATTATGATCAAAGTTGTTCCTGGAAATCAGGATCTCAGGTTCAGCTCCAAGACAGCACTTCCTGCGTGTAAGATGTCACTCCCAGCAAGGAGGCCAGGCAAGGAAGGAATGACAGATGCTGGCATCACTTTATCATTTTCTACTTTATTACTTCAAATTAACAACCACGATAAAGCTCAAAAAAGTCCAATATTTACACAGGAAAAAAGTACAAAATCCCCCCCAAAGTTCTTCAGGTTTTTTTTTGTTTGTTTTTTTAAATTACAAAGTAATAAAAAGTTTTGCTCTTTAATTAAAAAAAAAAAAGAGACAGTAAGAGGGGTAAATAAATTAGGAAAAAAATAGGGAGGAAAAATAAAGTGTTAAATAGAAAGGATAAAAACAAACAAAACAAAGACTAACCCCTCCCTCCCCACCCTGCCAACAACCCATCGGCTCCACACTACAGTGACTGTGTGTCTGCTACAGGCCATAGGTCGCAGTGGTGATCATTGTGTTTCAAAGCCCCAAGTGCCACAAAGCAGCTTGAGTATTCCTAAATTATATTTAAAAAACAACTAAAGTAGGGGGGGAAGAGGGAAAGGGAGACAGGTGGGAGAGGGCAGCTAGGGATTGTGCATGTATGGTGGATCTTACTCGGGGTCGCATGAGGGAAGGAGAGAGCAAGAGCCATCGCTCTGAAAGAACACCCAACTCCAGTTTCTGTGCGCCCCTCTCTTCTCCTCGAGTCCCGCGCTCTCTCCGCAGGAATTAAACCAGGTTTTAATTAAAAATAAAAAATAAAATAGAAAAACCACACACAGCCAGACAAGGAAAAAAAAAAAATGAGACCCCACTGCAGGGATGGGAAGTGTGTTTGTCCCTGTATCTCAGCTCCAGCCTTCCCATCCTCCACGGGACCAGATGCCTCTCCATCAAGATTCCTCGGTGCGTGAGGACTGCTCAGATCAGGGAAGTCCGGCACTTCTCCCAACAGACGAAGAAACAAAGACGCAGAGAAGCCACCCAAGGTAAGGAAGCCCGAGTCAATGATTAGGCTGTTGCCACAATTCCCCTCACAGCTTAAAATTCATTTAATGCTTGAGAAAATAAATTCTGTTATAATAATAATTAAAAAAAATAATAAAATCAGACTTCTACCATCAAGTGTGGCTGGAATCTGATTCCCTCCTGGCCCACAAAGCTCCTGGAAAAAAAAAAACAAAACAGAACAACAAAACAAAAAAATCCCACACCCCACCAGCCCCTGCCCTCAAAAAAACAGGAGAGCAAAGTTAAAATTTATATGGCTAGAAACCATATGATTTTAAAATAATGATAATAAAAAATTATGAGAAGATATCCCAGGAAGAAGGACAAAACAAATAATAAAAGAGAGAAACCAAACCCAGGAGCAGAGGGTCAGGAGAAGGGACTGGGGATAGGGCCCTGCAGGGCTGGGGTGGGGGGAAGCGGAGCTATTCCCACATGGCTCCCACGTCGTCAGCTCCTCGAGGCGCTGGTGCTGGGGGGATAGAGGCAGCCCCCTCAGAAGCGGTTGACACCAGCGCAGGGGGCACAGCTCAACTCCTCCTCGTTGGCAAAAAAGAAATTCTGTCAGGTGGTTTGGGGTTCATTTTTTTGTTTGTTTTTTTGTCTTTTAAATTTTTTTCTTTTTGGGGTTTTTTGTTTTTTAAAAGAAAAATACAGTGAAGACACTAGAAAGGGAATAAAATTTAAAAAAAAAAGAGAAAAAGGGAAGAGATATTAGATGAAAAGGCTCTTCTCAGCACTTCCAGTGCCAGCTGGAGTATAACTAATCAAATCAGCCCTTTCTTCTACACTCCTGCCACCCCTCAGAGTTACCTTGTCCAGCTACTGCCGTTTCCTCTACAAGAGGCACTTGCCAGCTGTGCAAAGCCTCACACACTTGATTACATGCTCAGCACCCTCCTCCCTAACATTATCACACTGCTTAAAAAAGCCTTCATTAGGAACTAATGAAATCACTTCCTGGCCCAGCACCTTCTTCACCCTCCTTCACCCTCCCTGGAGAAATAGAAATGATCTTTACACCCAAAGATAATCCAGCCCCTCAAGGTTTTTGGCAGCCAACCTTACTCTTCCCTCTCAAGCCAAGAGAGATCTCAAACTAAGGCAGAGGAAAAGGAAATGTACCAACCCTCCCACACCAACATTACAGCCTTAATCTAATCCTTTATGCCATCAATTCCATCCTTGGCCCCCAGGCACAAGGACAGGCTCACCTAAGCAAACACTGGTCCAGTGGCAATTGCTTTTCACTTCCCAAGGTGATCAAATGGCACACTTGTCTACAAGAGAAAAGGAAAAGCAAGTGAAGGGATGAAGAGAAAAAGGCACCAAATACACCATAACAGAGGCTGCACACTTCCTTCAGGAGATCTTCCAAGAGTTTATGATTCCAGTTCTCCAAACCACTGCATGCTGGAAGACAACCAGATGAAGGTTTACTCCAAGCCATGCAGACCTAAGATGACAGTAATGAGCATGGCCTCCAGAAAATACGTAACTGAAGAGTGAAGGCATAATTTGGTACCATCCCCCTTTGCTAGAAGCTTCAGGCTCGTGTCAGGTCCATCAGATCAGGTAAAATCCGCCGTGGGGCCCACAGTCTTTGTGGGACATGCAGGCCAAGGCCATGAACCTCGCAGCAGGGACTCACCTGTGACGCTGAAATCCGTGACACTTCTTGCCGCCCTGTGAGGTCAGATGAAGAGACATTGGCAGGAGCTCCTCGGTGTAACCTCATGCTGACCTTCCGCTCCCTGTCCACTCTTGAGATCGCTCTGGGGGATGTGTTTCCTGTTGGGGCAAAGAGATGCGAGACAAGGTTACTGGTCAATAGTTTTGGTTTCCAACCAACAACCTCCCCCCAGCTCTCCCACCCCGCTCACCGGACTGCTGGATTCGGGAGGTGGGGGTGGAGGCCATGGGCTCAGTGACATTGCGCAGACGGTTGGCAGTGGCTCCAGCAGGCGGGCCAGGAGGCAGTGCTCGTGTGGCTGACCCCCGGAGCTGCCCCATCCTCTCTTCGCGCTCGTGTTCTCGCCGCTCCCGATCCATGTCCTCAGGGTTCCGGGCTGCTCCCTGAGGAGAGGGGAAACCCCCACATCACACAGGGCTGTCAGGTGGGAGAGACAGCAGCAGCCCCAGACAGAACACACATGGTGCTCCATCGCACCAAGCGAGCAGAGCTCCAACCCCAAAACGCATCTTCCAGTCCACCAAGAGAGGGACTCATTCTCTTCCATGAAGAAACAGGGAAGACAGCATATAGTACTTCAGCTGTTATTGCAATCCACCTGTGTCCCACCTCCAACTACAGTTCTCTACTGAAAAATCATCTCTACCTACCTACAGCTATAGATCTACTGACATACGTGCTCCATCAGACACACTAACACAACAGTAGCAGTATCCCTTTAGCTGGCACCACCAAACAGCTCTGCCTCTTCTCACTCTACCCGGTCCCCTTTCTCAAGGTGCTCACCAGGGGTAAAGTACAAATGGCAGGTAGTTTCCAACCTTCCTCCCTCATCTTCATGACACAGAAACCAACCCGTCCCTCCAGCCCTTTCACCATACACACTTACAAATTTAAGCATGTTCCAGTCAAAGACATAGTCATAGGAGAAGCCTTGGCGGTGGAAGAGGTTGCGGAAGAGCTGCCGCAGGTAGGAGTAGTCAGGTTTATCATCAAACCTCAGTGAACGGCAGAAGTTGAGGTATGTTGAGAACTCAGCTGGAGGGAGCAGAGAACAGTTGGTTGTTGAATGCCATCCAGCCCCCCTTGTACAACTGTAGAGCTGCTGCAGCCTTTCAGCAGTGATGTGCTAGCCCAGGATGGCATAAACACAGAGCCTGCTTACTGCAGTGCTTTGGCCACTGAGAAGACCCCATGCCTATTTTTACCAGAGGAAATGCTCACACTTCTCTTTTTCTGGCTGCTTCTGCAAGCGAGAGGTAGCAAGTCTTGCTCTCTGCTGAAGGAGAATAAGAATGCAAGCCTGAAGAATAGTCGGAGGTGTGCTTGGAAAGCTCCTAGTTCAGTAGCCTGTCTGAAGCAGTGGCCAGCAGCAGATAGCTAGGATGGGCAAGCACATCTGACACTTCCATTGACATTAGCCCAATTTCTACCTACTTTCAGATCAGGGAACTTCCTCATCTGGATGTAGTTTCTAATTAATGATTTAGTAACCCTCAGTGGATCCCTCTTCCAGATGGTTGTCCAGTCTCTCCCTGAATTCCTGTAAGGTTTAAGTATCCACAGTATGTTCTGGGAAAGAGTTCCACGGGTCTATTACTGACTGTATGAAGAACCACACCATTTTGTTTTGAAGCTAGCAGGGTCTCCATTTCTCGTCCAATACAAAAACTCAGTCACCCCAAATAATCGGCTCTCATCCAAACTTCTGGAGGCATAGCAAGAGTGCAGACTTTATCATCTCTCTATAAGCAACTCTTCTCCAGGTTCCAGCTAACTTACTGCTTGTACAAAAATCACCTCACCTCTGATCACCCTTTTGGCCCTTTCCCGGACCTTAGAATTATAGAATCAACCAGGTTGGAAAAGACCTTTAAGACCATCAAGTCCAACCTTTACCCCAGGACTGCCAAGGCCACCACTAAACTGTATCACTGAAGGCCTTATCTATAGTTTCTGAACACTTCCAGGGACAGTGATTCCACCATTGCCCTCAGCAGCCTGTTCCAATGCCTGACCACCCTTTTGGTGAAGAAATTTTTCCCAACATCCAGTCTAAACCTGCCCTCGTGCAGCTTGAGGCTGTTACCTCTTGTCATATCACTTGTTATTTGGGAGAAGAGACCAGCCACCTCCTCGCTCCATCCTCCTTTCAGGTAGCTGCAGAGAGTGATAAGGGTCCCCTTAAGCCTTCTCTTCTCCAGACTAAACACCCCAGTTCTCTCAGCCATTCCTCATCACACTTGTGCTCCAGACCCTTCACCAGCTCCACTGCCCTTCTCTGGACCCACTCCAGAACCTCAATGCCCCTCTTGTAGCGAGGTGCCCAGAACTGAACACATGATTTAAGGGGCAGCCTCACCAATGCAGAGTACAGGGGGATAACCACTGCCCTGGCTCTGCTGGCTACGCTATTTCTAGTACAAGCATTTTCTGCCAGGCAGCTTTCCAGCCAGTCTTCCCCAAGCATGTTCTATTGCACCCTTTCAGAAATAGTGGGATGGACCAGAGCTGCACAGTGCACTCAAGGTGCAAGTGGACCATGGGTTTATAAACACTGTTTAGGTCTCTTCTCTTCCCAAGTAATTCCTAGCACCCAGCAGCCACAAAGTATAGTCACCGCTTTCACAGCACCACCTATTTTAACTTCAACAGCTCACTGGTGAGCAGCACTCATCAGCTCAGAGCTTACTATTCTGCATATGACATAAGGACCTAGCCTTCTCTCGCCTCTCAAGATATTACTCCACTTTTAACTACAAAGAGCTTCATTTGCCACTTTATTGCCTGATTATTTCTGGGGTTCATCAGTTGGCCCTCATTCTCATTACCCAGTAAAAACTGAGGACCATTAGCACACCTTCTCACCTAACTGTCCACCCCGCTTCCAAGCCTTTCATAAGGTCCTAAAGATCCTTCTCATCACTCTCTGCATTTAATATCACAAGGCTTGACTCTCCACAAAAATATGTTTCCCACTTCTGAAACAGAATTGTATCACTACTGATCTCTTCTTCTCATCACTGGTGTAAGCAGCACATCCTGGTCCTGGGGTACTAGGCTCTACTAGGTACAAGAGTCTACGGGGTTTCCAGCAGGAGAGCAAGCCATACATCAGACAAGACAACCATCAAGATCAGAGCACTTACAAGGGTACCCTTTGCAGAGCACCTCGATGGGCGTTGACATCTTTTTCTCACTGATCCTCTCGTACTTTTGGCGCTTGGTGGCAGCCTTGAGGCCCTGCCAGGGCAGGGAGCCCAGGTTGAAATACATGAGCACATAGCCCAGGCTCTCCAGGTCATCGCGGCGACTTTGCTCTGCGAGAAGAAGTTACAAAGGCGCAAGGAGTGAGCAGCAACCAAAACTGCTTTGGCAATCACACAGCTTTGGAGGCGAACACAGAACAAAATAAACAACCTCCTTCTTTTCTCTGGTAGGTTCCTATGGATAGACAAATTTGTAGAAGACGTTCCAGTACAAATTCCTGTGAGGATGTTCATCCTGCAAGAGTTAAAAGAGCTCCTCTCCCCAAGGAGCCCAACCCACTTCATAAATAAATAATTACTCTGACTACCTCCTTAGACAAGCCTTAATTCACGCAAGAATTCAACAGCTTAAGAAGTACTGCAGCGACACTGCCTACTTTGCTCTTCCCAGTCCCAGAGGAAGGGCACCTACACTTCTCCACCCAGAATGATACTACACCACTTCACCCTGGGGATTAGTCACAACTGAAGTAGTCACAGGAAGCCAAAGCTAATAGAGGTAAGCCCAACAAACCCTGTCAAACACATCTTCTAATTAACCTGCTGATACTCTTTACACTGGGAAGAAATAGGGAATTAATGACCCCTTCTTGTGGTAAGTAACTGCTGATAGTTTAGAGAAGCCTAACATGCAATGCTGTGCAATGATCTTTCCAGAGAGGTGGCACTTAAACAGGTATGAATACAGAGGTATATTTTCAAAGGTTCCCCTCCAAATGAGGAACGACTGTCTAACTGGCTTCACTGCCAACTCTACTTAGAGCAAGGGTTGCCCTTAATACACCATTTTATGGGCCCATTTTTAGACACTTATTCGGGAAACAATTGTTTTGTTTCATAAACAAAAACATTCCACATTGAACTTAATTCTCTGGAATGACCAAGCCATTTTAAGTTTCAAGTTAGCTCAAGATGGAGTTGATGCAGAACCTCAGCAACTGGAAATGCTGACTGGTTAACTTGTGAAACTCCTCCCAGCAACACCAACATGCTTACAAATTCATCTATAAAAAGAAGCAAGAACCTCTTTACCCTTCTTCCCCTCTCTCCTCACACACACACCCCCCCAAAAAGAAAACCCACTTTTTACATCTTGAAGAGAACAACAACTTACATAGGTAACAGAGGTGAAATACGGCTTGAGGGAGAGTACAGGAGCAGAGGAAAGACTAGAGAGATTCATCTATTATATTAATTTACTACTGCAGCCTATTTTGCTGGATTTAGTGCCATGTCCTGGAAGATGCTGCAGATTATGTATTAGTCTGTGGGTTAACTGTCAGTATTAGTTACATGCCACCACCTGCCCCATTCTAAGGCCAGTGGATTATTCCAGCTACTCCTTACTCTGCTAGCTGAGCTGAACCCTAATGAAGGAGTAGCTGTAGCATGTTGCAGATCTAGATGTCCAGGTGTACCAACACAAGCTGTGGCTCACCATGGGCCTTTCTTCCTCCTGCATCTCTCAATCTCCTAGTAGTTTTGAGAACTGGGCTCATCACTGTTACTGAGAGGAGAGGGACTTTGGGTCAAAGCACATGAAATGCCATAAAAATGCCATGTTCCAAGACAGGTGTAGAGGAGAAAGCAGCCTTGCAGATGCCCAAAAAGTGTCTTATTTCTGCATGCACAAACTAACAGCATTTTCTGACCTTACTGCCTCAAGTTACCCACTTTAAAGGGGCTAATACTTCCTAATCTTATCAGGCTGCTGCCAAAGATAACTGGCTGGAAGATGCTTAGATGCTATGGATGGAGCAGGGAAAAAGAAATCCAGGTCTGCATTTGGCCAAAGGCTGGGATATGTGTAGTCTCAGAGGGCTGCAATTACACACCATGTATATCAAATAAATAAAACTAGACAACATTTGATAATAACCTACATCCCGAGACAGAAGGCATGTGGAAATGGAGTCAGAATACACATCCAGGGCTTGAAAGCAGAGGAGATGAAGGTAACCTCAGTCTTGCCATTTGCCATCCCCTGACTTATACATGCTGTAGCTTTAAAGCCTGTAACTATGGGTTCCCTGTCTACAGCATGGTTGTGCCCCTCAGAGAGTAGGGAAAGGCAGGTCAGGAACCAAAGAAACAGACTGAACAAGGAAATCAACTCTTTAGGAATAAAACAGGATCTTGCCTCCAAAATCTTGCTTGAACTCCCCACTGCTTAGGGCAGGCTGGACCACATGCCTCCACTTGTGTGGAGCACAGCAGCTTTGAGCACATCTGCCAAGCCATCCAGAACAGGACATGCTCTGCAAACATATGGCCAGGCACAGTCCTAGTGATTTGGGGAATGCCAGAATGAGAGACTTGAGGTTAGGTAGCCTGAAGTCAGTGGGGGATACTACAAGCTCTTACCAGAGGCAACGAGAGAGGTTACAGAGCCAAACTGGGTAGCTTACTAGTATCTATTACATGCATGCAAACACACCCCACCTGTGGCTTAACACAGCAATATGACAGAAAACAGCTGCAAGCACAACACCTCATTATTAAAACGCTGAATGACAAATGCCTGATTGAATTGCATCCCCAATGTCCAGTACCTCAGGTATATGTGGTCACTGTAGCCCACTTAAACAATTTCAGTGAGACTAAACCTATGAGGAACCTGAAGCATCAGGCTCATGGGTTACAGTTGTCAAGCTACCTCAAAACATTGTAGCTGTCTTTCACCTGTAACCCACACTACCACATCCTGAATTACATTCCTTTTTTTTTTTTGTTTCATCTTCAGTTACTATTACACATCTCCATTTTTATTTTTTATAGGCTTGGCTTCATATAGGAACATCCTCAAGACACTAGGTAACATTAGACAGCAAAAGTGGAGTAATTAAAGTGGAGTAATTGGAGTTAGCAAAAAAAAAAGTTCACCTTTACACACCAAAGAAATATTATTTAAGATCACTGCTTTCCACCTTTAGAAGCTTGACAATCATTGACTAACTCTCACGGCATCCCTGGGACGCGGTGGGGTCGGGGAAGTTATCTATCTCACTTTACAGTTTGAAAAGAGAAAGCAAAACACCAGTGACATGAATGCCTGCCCAGAGCAAGTCAGTCCAGAAGCATGATGACTGTCCTGACCTGTGACTCCACACCACACTTCTCTCCATTTTAGTTCAGCTTCTTGGTTCTCCGGCAGTACATGAGGAACTGCTACATTTATAAGACGCTTTCTTCCCTCCCTCACAAAACCTCTTCCAATAAAAAGCAGGAGGTTGCCTCCCCCCACAACCCAGCATAACCTCAAACCCAACCCACTCTGCAAGCCATCTCCTGCCAGCTCCCTCCCACTCCCAGGGAGGTTCCCAGCCAGCCCACACCCTCACTCCCTTCCCAAAGCAGGGTCCTCAGAAAGAGCTGAATCAGGGGTGAATAGCAAGACAGCAAGATACCCGAGGAAGGCACAGTTGGGCAAAGACAGAAGACTGAGGACTGGCTGCCATGGACAGAAGGTTCATGACAAAACTTGTTTCTTTGCAGCTGAAAGTGCCTCCTGGTCCCCCAGGGCAGTGCTTCCCTCCACCTCTGATCCTATCCAAAGGGATGCTGTTTCACCCATGCAGGACTCCCTAGAAATTAGCTGTCTTTGCTGGAGCCAGCCCAATGCAAGCCATCTTAACCAAGCAATGTTTTCCTGATTATATACTTAGATCCGATTTTGCAAATGCTGGCTGGAACTACACTTCCCTTTTCTCTCCCCAGGCATGGCAACAGCCTTTAAGAACACACAAGAATCCAAAATGGGAGACAGAGGGCAAGATGAGCAGAACTTGATGATCTGCACAGCCTACACTGAAACCATGCAGGACTGCATTTGGGCAGGAACTTCCCACCCCCAGTCTCCTGCTATCCAGACAGAGTCCACCAGGCTTCTTTCAAGACTGTCTCCTGGGCACCCCTGGGCATCTATTTCAGACTTTACAAGCTCCATAGGGTGCAAGGGACTCTCATCCCCAGAGCATGTGAAAATTGACTGGAATGCATGAACCAAAGCCTGTACAGTCTAATGACTCCCCCCACAGCAAGTCTCCAGCTGTGGAAGCCCTCCCCAATCTCGCCTCCTACTTTTCCCCCTGGTCACTGGGAAAAGAATGCGTTTCCTCCAGACATCGGAATGCCCAACCCTTAGCTTGCACATTCAAATAAAGGCATTTATTCATTTGCTATTCCAGTCACATGAATACCCCGGCACCTGGTTCTTTCCTTCTCCCTAAACCACGTTAATGTAGCATTAAGACAGAGAATTTAGTCTCTGAAAAGTCAAAAAAAATCAGAGTGATGGTTTCCATGGCAATGCTGCTAACTCACAAACGTGCTTGTCACACTCCCTGTGCCAAGGTCTTGAGAAACAGGAACTCCAGCTGCAACCCCAACACCCCCATCCCCTTTCCTCCAGGCAAGCCATGTAACCTTTATGCCATGCAGGGGAACTATCTACAACATGGAGATAATACACCCGAGACCTGTTGCGTAGAGTAGCTCACACCCAGACCTTCCTGAAGCAAAGGCCATGAAGAGAGCAACGCCTGTGCTCAGACTGGTGGCATATGCAACTTGCCCTTGGATTAGTGTTCAGGCATTGTTTGTTCAAGCCAAGCGCCAGTAGTAAAGGGCTAAGTTGGGGTGGGATGAATAATAAAGTCCTTAAAAAAACAAAAAAAAAAAACAACAACCAAGAAAGCCAACCCAACCCCACAACCAGACATTGAGCCTCCTGTGATCAGTTCAGACAGAGCAGGCACACACAAAAGAATCGACAGACATAGTAGTGAGACTTATTTTGTGCATGTCTCCTTTGGCAGTTACTACGGCTGTGGAAATTTTGACTGAGAGTTCAATGGAGAGTCAGTTATATATACGCAGGTCAAGCCAGAATACAGAAGACCAACTCGAAAAGCTCTACAAGAACTATTTTTACCACGTGGAAGAGGTCAGGATCACAGCCCACTCTCAATACACAACACTCCTCATTTTGATATAAATAAAGCATTTTCAGTGTACAGTTATACAGTATGAAGCAAGGAAGGGATTGGGAAATTGCTTTATTTTCTGCAGGGCAAGTCTTGACTCCAGATTTCTGAGAAACCATCTGCACAAGGGGAGTTTTCCCTAGGAAGAATGAGGACATGGAATCTTGTGGAAGCTGATAGTTTAAAAGGTTTGAGTTCCTTGCTCTGTTTTTCAAATTCCCAGCTTATTCACCTGGGAAGGTCTCCCAGAGATGCAAAATGAGCTGCAAGCACAGTAGCTACTTTCCTGGGTCCACAGGCAGGGCAGCTTCCATGTTTCTGCTCTTTGGATTTGCCTGTCAGTAGCAGAACCAAGTCAGCCTGCTCAGAACAGGCCCTACAGTTAACTATGAAAGTCTCACACTGTGGATAAAGTTTAGCAGAAGGAAGACATCACACACCAGAGAGAAGTTTCTGGCCAGGGAACAGAAGAGAAAACTGCATCAGGTTCTCACCTCAGTTCCTTGCAGCTACCAAGTATTATGCATCAAGGGCTCATTCACAAGACAACATTTGGATGACTTCAGGAAATTTAAGGGCAGCGGGTACTAACCTGCACCTGAGACACTGGCCGCTGCCAATATAAGACCTGTTTCAACTCTCAGCACTTTTCTCAGCCTAGTTTTATCTCCTCAGTACTAATCATAGACACTAAAAGCAGAGCCCTACCTCCCTAAAGCTGCCTCACTCATTTTTGTGGTGAACAGGTCAGTGTGGTTCACAGACACGTCCGTATTTTGAAGACCTGTGACAACCATTCCTCAATCACAAAACCTGCATGTCCAGGTGGCAGGAAGCCCTTCCTTATTTCAGCTTCTTGTACATTTCCAGCACATGGCTACTACCCCCATACTCAGTGGTGGGTAGCAGGATATTTACAGTGGGCCTGCATTCTTCCAGCAGACAGCTACAGAACAATCACTGATGAAGGCACTTTGGAGTCAACAAGAAAGGTTTCAATTTCAAAATATCCCTAAAGGCTCCATGCCTGTGAATGTCTCCTTTACATAACTAATCAGCCTGCAAGACTTGTGCAAGGCAGTTAGGAGCAATAGAGCTGGGGAGGCCAGAGCCTTGATTCTAAATAAGGCCCCACTGTACTAAGCTGTGTACAGACACATACCAGGAGACAATTTCTGTCTTCAGGAGCTCAGAGTGCCACAAAAGGCAGGAGAGGTAACACAGGCCTGACAGCCAAGTTATTTGGCCACCATCTCAAATCAGGTCAGCAGCAGAGCCAGGCATAGAACTCAACCCCCTCCTTCTGGGGACACAGTGCCTCCCATGGAAAGCCCCAAGTGGGGCAACAGCAGGCTCACCAATTCCCAGGTGGGTGTTGATAGAGGCATAACGGGCTGTGCCAGTCAGATTCTTGTTTTCCCGGTAAGGGATGTGCTGGTGGGTTCGGGCATCTCGGTACTTCTTGGCCAAACCAAAATCAATGATGTATACTAGGTTGCCTTTTTTGCCGAGGCCCATAAGGAAGTTGTCTGGTTTTACATCCCGATGGATGAAGTTCTTGGAATGGATGTACTCAATACGGCTGATCTGGAGGGGAGAATAAAGAAATGAGTAAATAATGAGACAACCAAGAAGGAAACTTATATCATAACCATGTCGTTAAAAGCAGCACCCTGTCCGGGTCCAGGACACTGGCCTGTCAGAGCACGGAAAGGGATACTTTGCAGAGAATATCAGAGATGATAGCCAAGAAAAAGACACCCTCTGGGGCAGAAGGATCTGGAGACAGAGACAGAATTCAACCCCCTACACCAGTCCTCAATCTGGGGAGGTCACCATTAACACCACAAGGAAGGATGGGAAGCAGGTCTGTATGGACTGAAACTCTGAGCTTCAGCATTGACACCAGTCAACTTTCAAACAACAGGAAAGGAAGAGGGTCCGAACAACTACAGGTCTTAAACCCAGGCCATAGGCAGTTGAGTTGAGGTAGGTAGCAGTGCCAATCATTCATCACTCAGGAAAAAGCATCTATGCATTCAAAGCTAACACAGGGTAAGCAGCAGGGGATGGAAGGAAGGATGGAGATCAGGAAAAGCCAGCAGTGTCTAGGTTCCATGCCCCCGGCTTCATCAAGAAATAAAAACCTGGCAGCTGGTTACTGCTAAATGGAAAAAGCCTGGGATACAACAGTTCTTGAGCAGAGGGGATGGGAGGAGAAAAAAAACAAAAAGGCATGGAAAAGGAGAGTAGGCACAAATGCTTCAGAGGAAACTCACCATCTGGTCTGCCAGGAGCAGAACTGTCTTGAGACTAAATTTGCGGGAACAGAAGTTGAAGAGATCTTCCAGGCTGGGCCCCAAGAGCTCCATCACCATCACATTATAGTCCCCCTCTGCTCCACACCACTTAATGGAGGGGATACCCACTGGGGAAAAGAGAGATATTAAGCCCACAGAACTGCTGCATCCCCGGCTAAGAAGACTGTATGTAACACCAAATCATTTCCTTTCCAAGACCCTCCAGAATAATTTCCTTCTTCAACCACTCCCCCAGCTCCATCCTTTTCTCCCCATCTCACCTCCTCCCTGCATCATCTTGTAGAACTTGCTTTCAATGTGGAGCTGGGGATGCTTGGTTTTGACACATTCCAGTTTGATGGCCACCTCTTCACCAGTTGCAATATTGGCTCCTGCATAGAAATGAGGGTAAAATAAAGATTGTGCAAGCTTCCACTGAAGCTAAACACTTTTAACAAGGCCTGTACAGATGCCAAAAATCTTAAGACTTGCCCTGAAATTTATTCTGTGACAGAAATGAGAATCAGCCTCTTCAGCTTCACACAGTGTTTTCAGCACTGCCATTTGCAAAGGCAAGCCCAGAGGATGGCACATGAATGAGAAACCAACTCTGATCCTGCAGCCAGGCTAGAACAATGTCCTACAATGTGTTAACTGCTCCATTGTCTCAAAAAGTGCCAGGCTTTGGGAGGTCAGTCTCTACGTATCAGCAGTACCTGAACTGAGTGGAAGTTTTACCTGTCCACGATCATGTACCTACCGCCTGAACCCAAGCAAGCCCCCAGGCAGGGATATGGAATACCTTTTGCCCAGCTAAATTACTGGTTTCCTCGGGTACATCATGTCGACAGAGCCAATTAGTTCAGGAGAAGACACTACTAACATTCTCAGCTACCTTTTTTTTTTTCCCCACAGCCCTGACTTGATCAATACAGACAATTCCTGTCTCCCCAGCTTTTCCCCTCTCCCGAGGGCTTTACTATTACCTTTATCCTTTGCCAACAGACATATCTGCTATACCTTAAGTTAGAAGCATGAAAAGTAAACTGAATCTGATACCAAATCAAGCTACTCAGATGCCTTTGTTGAAGGTACTGCTAAATAGTTTGCAATGACACAAAACCACCTGACATGCCGTCTTTCTGAAAAGAACTGAGCTGTCAGCCATGAAAGCTAGCACTCTAGTCCCAAAGTGCACTGTCAAAGGAGGAACAGGCTGGTCTTTCTCTTGTACTAGCTGAGAGTATTCCAGATGTTTCACATCATCCTAAAATGGAAAGAATGAAGATCTGTACACAGGTCACGGGAATGACACTCAGGACTTGTTTCTCTCTCCCCTTCCATGCTTGCCCCTCATACACACAGGGAAGCCCTTCCTCATACCTGGAACTAGTGAAAGTTGCACTCAAACACAAATCAGAGAGCATCTCTGATACTGAGGAGCTTATGAACACTGTCATGAAATAAACTACTCCAGAACATACATGCCAAACATGAGCTGGAGTTATAGGTGATGTTTTGCAGATAACCCATAGCTAGTTTAGTAGGTCGTGTTAATTTGTACTCCTGATCCCTGTGATAACGCTTTCGGAGTACACGGGGACACCTGCAAATAGATCTCTCCACCCATCGCCTCGAGCCAGGGACCAAAGAGAAAAAGAGAATGTTCACACAACTGGATCCATTTTCCCCTCTGGATCCTAAGGAGATCCATCGCCTGTTGAACTATTCTGGCTTGTAAACAAAGTTAGCCAAGAGCTGCCTACTAGCAAAAAAGACGTCATCTAGATATTACAGCGCCGGGTCGAGACAGACAAGCTGTTAGGAATTTGTAAGAGAGGAACAAAAACCATCAGGGCCTAGAGGGATTGATTTACTAAGAAAGATTAAAAGAGCTAAATATGTAACATAGACAAGACATACAACTAAGAAGGGTGGGGAGGAAGAATGGGACATGACAACAGTCTGCAAGTATTTGAAGGCTGTAAACACTAAGGAGGGAGAGGAATTATTTAGAGTGCTCTGAGGGAGGGAAGGAGAAGCAATGGGATGAATTTAATAAAGGTTTTTACTCAAGATCCAGGAACGGGGAAAGGGAAAAGGCCATCCTGAGAGCTAGAGCCACTTTTCCAATGGTAACTTTGTGAAAGATCTGGCATTTTCCACTTAGAAACTGCTGGCCAGCAAAACAAGTCTGTACATTCCCTTCACTCCATCACAGGACCCTTTTTGCAAGCATCAGGAGTGCAAGGAGGAAAAGAGCAGGACAAGGGTCTCTGATCACAGTAAGAATGTTACCCTGCACTAGTATCTACCTTTAAAATTAGTGCTCAGTCACTAGACCTCATTCAACATGGCAACAGCCGGGACATCCAAAAAATAATAGCACTTCCTTCACATCTCTTTCCCCTGCCTTTGTGAAGACTTTCCTCCAAATCCCCTGCAGCAGCTCCCTTGTCTGCCCCCTGAAGGGATTTTTCCCTCTCCTAATCCATCTGCTGACACACAAGCAATGATGAGTCTTGCTGATTTTCAAGAGCAGTAGCATTAGCATTTCGAATGAACCCTACTCCCCCCAGAAGTTGAACAGTAGAAAGATGAATGGGTTCTCATCTCCACATTACCCTGTGTGTTTAGGAAGATGATGATACATTCATCTACTAGGCTGTCTGCAGGTGGGGAGTGTTATCTGTGAGCATGTAAAGCAGGAAAAGGGACAGGAGGGGTAAGCATCACCTTAAGATTCTGCAAAATGTGAATATGCTATTCAAATGACCAACATGGCCTTCAGCCCCACACTCCCCATTGCCCAAACACAGGTGTTAGTCTCCTAGGAAAAAAAACAACAACCCCATGACCTCGAACGGTGAAAGCAGGACCAATGAGGAGCTATTCTTTGCTCAGGGGGTCACCAACCGAACGCTCACCCCGCTTCCCAAACCCCACTATGGCTTCAGGTTGCTCCCTCCATCATTTCTTGGCTAGAGATCTACCCAGACTGAGGCTACCACACGTGAGGAGGGAATTCAAGGGAAGGAGTCTCTCAGATCCTTTGTTCCATGCTTTAACCACCATCTTTTTTAAAGATACAAGTACAAAAGCAACAGTTCTCTGTTCCCTTTCCAGAGTGGCAAGCATCACGTTTCAGTCAAATGCAGCAGAGCCTGCCTAGCTTCAGCCACTCGAGAGACGCATGTAGGATTGGGGATAATTCCTTACATCCACCCCCAGTCTCGCTCCGCTGTGGGGGCTGCACAAATTCAACTCATTCATCACAAGCTGTTTGAAACGGAGCCCCAGGGACAGAGGATGTCACTGGCTAAACAGGATCTTTTCAGCGTGGAAGCCTTGCTGCATGTCTGATACAATAAACACCGCCCTCCCTGCACATCCGGAGAGCCAAAAGGCACAAGCCCCCCCGCCCGCTCTCCCCATTGCTTGCTCTCCTCCCCAAGGCTCCGAGAAGGAAGAATGGAGGGCTGGGAACAGATGGAAGAAGTCAGATAGGGCGAGAGAGAGTTAACAGGCCAGGAAACAAAGGGAAGGCACTCCCCTCCCAGCAAGGGAGGAGCCTGCCACCAGGAACTGTCCCCAGTCAGCGCAGGTCCCAGCATGCTTTGTCTGCCCAGCTTTTCTCCACCACCAATGTGCATCCTGGCCTGACAATTCTCACCGTGTCCAGCAACCCTGCCCTGCCTCATGGCCGATACCTCCAACAAAGCACCCTTCTGATGGCACAAAGGTCTCAGCAATTCCTCTCCAAATCGGGTTTTGCTCTTCCGAATGAGCATTTTTAGAGACAAATGGGCTAGCCAAGGCCCAGTCTCATTATCCACCTTCCCACACCAACATGGGGAGGATAGCCCCCCACCACATCCATCCCCACAAGGTAGGGCATGGAAGTAAAGCACTGTGCTTTAAACCCAAGCTGACAATTAGCAGGAGCCCATCCTTTGTGTCTGCCCATGTACAATTTCACATTTTCTTCTGACAGGAAAACCCCAAAACAAATCCCAAAGAGCATAGCAAACAGTACCCACTGGTCACAGAGGTGAAGGTACTAACATCCTGAAAGAAAGAAATGGGGATTAACTGCACAGCCCATGCTCATCTACAGGGACAAGGCTTGTCTGTCCCTGCTCTATCTCTGCACTAATACTGAGACAACTGTGAGGTGAATCTGGTGTGGGAGAGAAGTCCTCATGAATGAGTCCCTCTGTCTCAGAACAGACCGTGAGAGGATAGCATGAGCACAAGCGTCCTCCAGACACACCATCAGAGACTCCATGCCCGATCCCTCCAGGCTGGGGAGTCACCCAGGCTCCAACAAGTCTCGCTATCACTGCTTCAAAACACACTGGCTTGCACCTCAATGAACATCACAAGGGCTTTGATACTGCATTCAAGTAACTTGGTTGAACTTGGCAGTTGGAGGCATCCCACTGTGCTCACCAAGCCAGGAAAGCACTGGGGCTTCCTCTGCCTCTCATCCTGTTTGGTTACAGGCAAGGCAGGCACAACCCCTTCCACTTCATTTCCATGCCCCCCCTCTGCAGAGGTGGAAGATCTGTTACATGATAAAGAGGAATACAGTCTCAGGCCTCATCATTTAATACCTCCCTTTTTTCTCCACGTGTACCCCAGAGGTTTTGGCAAGATCCACTGTCCTAGCATAGGACAGTACAGGGCCTGGGAGGCTCCCAGACCCCTAAAGGGTCTGGAAGGATTCAAGCATTAGCATAGGTGGAAAGTGCTGTGTCTGGGCTATCATTCCTCAATCCCTAGCACCTGGGGATTAAAAGCACTGTAACCCAAGTCACTAACTGGCTAGAGGGCCACAGAGGAGTGGCATACAGGAGTAGGCTGCAGCAAAGGCAGCATGCAGTGGAATTGGGATCTCAGATCCATTATTTATCATCTTTGTTCACACTCTGGATAAAGGTGGCAACAACGCCTATTACTGATGATTCCCACAGGATACTTAATCAAGAGAGGCTGCCAAAACCGATCAAGAGAGAATAATAAAACAAGAAAGAACTGGAGATAAAAGCCAGAGGTAGAAAACAGAAGGTGATTTACAAACACAGGGAAAAGTAATATGAACTAGAGGTATTCAGTGAAAGGAACTTGGGGAAGGTTGGGAAAATGTTGCAGATCCTGGAAGAGATGTCCTACAATACAGCTGACAGTGCACTAAGGCCAGTTCTGCAACCTGATAGTGTTGGTAATGGGGGAAGCCAAGGAGACCCAAAGCCTATACAGAGACCCAAAGCCTATACAGAAGCATCACATTACAGATCACCCAAGGGTAGCCCTTCAATGCCAGGCACTGGGAATGCCACACCTTGAATGCTGTGTAGGCTCCAAGCTGCTCACCAGATGGACAAACAGGGAAAAACTGAAGGACCAGCAAGAGTGAGGAGCAGTGAATGTACTGGGAAGCAAAATACAACTTAACTGAGAAATGAATCGTCAAGGAGCACACAACGACCACCTGCAAGTACTCAAAGGGTGCAAACACCAAAAAGGGAGAGGGCCATCACTCTGCTGGCCTGCAGGACTACAGCTAAACAGGTAGTGGTGAGAACCAGATGACAGATAGAGCCACACCAGCTCTCATGAAGTGATTGATCAGGCTACTGGGTAGTCTCTCCAGTCTGGCCCCACATGGTCTGAGCCAATAAAAATACCAGTAGGCAAAGCATCAGGGCACATATCTACACATCAGCATGCTGGCTTGGGAGAACTTCTCCCCAAGTGACCTGCTGTTGTAACAGGAAACCCAGCGCCTCATGGGCTCTGTCCATTGAGCTCCCAGCTCAGGTCATTCCAGACATTAACTAATCCCATTACAGACACAACTGATCTGGACCTCAGCACTTTAACCAGGCCAGCCTCTCTGACCTGTTTTGTACCTCCTGGTCTCACACCATTTTCTCACAGGTGCTGGACCACCTCTTCCACTACCAATCTTCCCAAAACTTTACACCTTTTACCCTGACAGAACAGCCACCTCCTCCCTTTCCACCACCTGCTCTTTACGGAGTTTACATTCGCACACACCAAAGCTCAAGAAAAGGAAGAGAGGTGGAATTGGGTGTATGACAAATATGCCCTGAATAGTTCAAATCTAAATCAGTCTGACCAAACACCACAGTGTATCCAATACTTGCAAGGCAAAGCTGAGCTCATCCCACTTTCTTTGCCACCAGGAACCAGCAGCAACTAGCAGGTATTCCTGGAAGCTCTTTTTCTCTGCACCACCTCCAACCTTACACGGTGCCCACAAATACCAACGGGCAAGAAAAACAACCCCGAAACAATGATGTAATTGAGAAAAACAACCTTGCAGGTGGATGGACAGACTCACTCACACTTACCTAGGTAAATGTCCCCAAAGGAGCCGCTGCCGATCTTTCTGCCCAGCCGGTATTTGTTCCCCACTCGAAGCTCCATGGTTCGGTCGTGCTGAGAAAAGAAGCAGAGAAATTGCGGGTCAGAGCAGAAACAGGAAGTGAATCATGCAAGACTAGAGAAGAGACCTCCCCACTTCACCCAGAGGCTGGGTATAGTTTTTAATCTTGAAATACTTCACCTTCTACATAGCCTATCACCTCTCCTGACCTCCTGTATGTTGAGGGACAGCATGAGCTAGAAATGCTACAGGAACATGCTCCTTTCAAGTGTGTTTTCCATGTTCTCATTATGCGAATAAAGGAGGGTTGAATCTCTTCCCCACCATTTTGTTCAGAGACTTGGGGGAAGAGGAAAGGAAGGGCCCAGGAAATCCCTCCCAAGAAGGTTTCAGCAGGTGATACTACTATGAAGAGAGATGCTCCTTGTAACCTACAGTACTTGGCACCACAACAGTGGTAACCTCCTGAGACACCGAAAGGAACAGGCATAATAAACCCTATGAGAAGGAGTGCTCTCTGGCCCAGCCCCACATCAGCACCTCAGTGGTGGTGAAGCACAGGACCCAAGGGCTGCAAGACAGACTGCCAGGAGCAAGCAACACCATTGCTTCTAGGTGGGGGCCAGCACATGGGACAGGGAGGAGACATCTCGCTGAACTGCACCCTTGGAGGCATGCGCTGACTAAGAATGCCACTTGCTTATCTCCAAACACTTCTGCTGAAGGGATCACTGCCTCCTTTGGTCTACCTGAGCTGCTCCATTTCTGTTGCCTACCCAGGTGTGCCAGCAGTTTGTTTTTAGCAGCTCAGGCCTTTCCTCATCCCTTCACCCAAGGTGATTAGCTAACCCTTTGACCTGCTATTCCCCATCAACATGCCCAGGCTTAGCTTACTCACCTTCCACATAAAACCAACTAGGAGGAAGGACCACAGCCACAGAGTTCTCCCTGCCAACCTCAACTTCTGCTGCAGCACCTCAGCCAAACAGTTCCAGCAGTTTCCCCCATAACAGCCCCCATTCCCTCACGCCTTCCATGGCCACCAACTTGTTCTAGGAACCACAGCTCTTCCCAAGACAGCAAACACATCTCCTCTTAGAGGGATTTGCTACACTCCTAATTTATGCAATGCCACATTATTAGCGTACAAAATGCAGACACAGAGCCTGTTGGGGACAGGAAAGGTGAGGAATGATTCATGTTTTCACAAGTAGGTGAGAGGAACTTTCCCTTGGTGGAGCTGGTGGGAAGGAAGGAAGGAAAGAAAGAAAGAAGGGAGGGAGAGAGGAACGGCCTTGTGAGACACAAGCACAAAAAAAATAATCCCAGCTATAGGATTCTGGGCACACTATAAACCCAGAGCTGCTTCTCCTGCCCCAGGAGATGGGATTACAGAAAGAGGAATGGACGGGCTGCAGAGACATACAGGGAAATAATCCTATCAAGGCATTCAGGGGACATTGTGAACCCTGAAAACAGAGCTCCAGTCACCAGAAACCACACACAAAACACTTAAAAGAGGTGGAGTCCCTTCACCTAGTATTTACTTATGCATGTGGGTTTCTGTGTGCCTAAAGTCTACAAAACCCTGTGGCTATTTCTGATTTTCTTACTACAAGGAATGTAGGCAGAGCCTTGGGAACCAAACCAGGAGGCAGGCGTACCTGGGTGAGGGTGCAGCAAACAGACATGATTTTTATCCGCTGCCTGCTGTTCTGTATAACCACATTAACATCCATCTGACTTGCTTACACTCCTACTCCAATAAGCGATCAAAGGTCTGTGTCCCCAGGAACCCATCACACCACTGTCAGGAAGACAGCTCTCCAACCTCCTTCCATCGTGGCCTGCGAACTCTGAGCACTTCCACTCCAGTGCAACTCCCAGACGGGCGAGTACAAGCTGCAGAGACCCAAGAGACCAGGCAGTAAGCCCTGGCGGGGTCTTCTGTGCACCACGACACAGCAGTTACTGCTCTGCAACACCACAGTCTCAAGCCTAAATCTGGTCCCACCCTTCTGGGACAGGCAGGAGCCAGGTTAGGAAGGGTTACTCGCGCAAGGAGGCAGCAGCCCTTCTAGCTGATTAAGCAACAGGCTCCAAAGGGGAATCTAAAAAATGCTTCGGGGCGAGGTGGTGGAAGCGGGAAGCAGGATAATGGAGTGAAAAATCATGGTCTGGAACAGCTGTCATTTTGCCTTATCTCTCCCCCCCCCAACACACACACACACACACACACACAAGTGTGCTTAGAAAACCAGGGTGGAGTAGGACAGACAGAGAGCAACAGCCTGGATTTATGGTAAGGGGGCAGGGCACACATCCCACTCCCCCCACAACTGCTCCAGGAGTTCAAACATCGATCACATTTGCTTTTACTTCACACAGATACACCCACCAGCTACAGCTTCCGCCCTTATCATCTGATCTTCAGGTCTACTATTACGAGAAGAAAGAAAAATTAACATCTAAAATTTATATTATTATATATCAAATTTACAGCACTCTTCCTATATTATTTATACTTGTACAATAAATAGTCATCCCTCCCTCAAGCTCCCCCCTTCCCCCAGCAGGTTTAACCCCCCCTGACCTGCCACCCTTCCTGTGCTCTCCAGCCAAAGCAGCATTCCCGGGGGCTTCAGGGCAATCATTTAGTTAAACCATTTAGTTTTCCATATGGGATTAACACACATACAACCTCAAAGCAAGTGTGTGCTCTGCATGAGCGTTTGCATACATGAATAGCCAACATTACACAGACACCTACAATATACTACACAGCCTCAAAAAAAAAAACACAAAAAAACCAATCCTACTATCCAGCCACCAGCACTGCTTCCCCACACACACCATTTTGCACCAATCCCCTTTTATATAACATAAAATACCCACGTACAGGCACAAAGGCCATTATATAAACACATGATAAGAGTTATCTCGCACTGCTCTGCCAGCGCCGATGGCGACCAAAGACACAGGGACCATCGGAGGAGGTGGGGGTACAGGGGACACACACACACGACAGGAGGGCCACCTCAGTGCCATCTGAGGGGGTCGGGAGTGAGAAGATGCCCTGGCTAGCAAAAGCCACACAAAACCAAACCCACAGCTCCATAATGGAGGCTGCCGAGCCCAGCACCTCTCCAGCGTTCAGTGCAAGTGTGGGGAGTGGGGGCTGCTTTGCTCATAGACCATAAAGACTTTACATGGCTTTTTGTGTGTGTGTGTGTGTATGTGCGAAGGGAAGAAAGGAAGAGGCTGGCAAAGCAATAATTTTAACTGGCCAAAATAAAAACGGGAAGGAAAAGAAGAAAAAATACGTTTTGATTGCAGGGCAAAAACACCAAACCCCTCCAGACCCTTTCCCACTTACAAAAAGGAGAGCAGCAAAATAGATGGGGAGGAGAGGGGGGGGTTACAAACCCCATGTACAGGGCATTTGGACCACTACATCCGAGGGAGAAAGAGCCACAACAGGGAAACAGGAAAAGGGGACAAAAAAATGATCACAATAATAAATATATCCCTTACACCCCCACCCCCTACAGGCAAAACACTACGCGAAGGCAGCCTTACCCGGGCTGTTATTTTTCCGGGTAGGTAACAAAAAGCAGCCACCCCCGGGAACGGCGCTGAACTTCTCGCCGTACCGCCCCCCCCCCCCCCGTACCTCCGCGGCCACCGACCCCCCAGCACAAAGGGAGCACCGAGCCCCCTCTAAACGCACCACTCCACCCCCCGAAACAGGCGTTGAGAGGCACTGGGGAGGGAGACAAGGAGCATCAGTGAGCAGGAGGGTGGGGGGGGTTAAACCACCCATGGGGCGGACCCCCACAGGGACCCCCGCTACCCCCCGCAGAGAACAGCACCGACCCCCCTCTCCGCTCACCCCGGCCCCGCCGGCAGGGCCCGGCAGGGGGAGAACAGGAGGAAAGGGGAGAATGGGGGAACCCCCTCCGGTAGCGGCGAATTTGGGGAGGGGGTTCCCCCCTCCCTACGTCCCCACAAAGGGGCTTTTGTCCCCCGCCGCCACCCCCCCGAGCCCAGCGCATCGCGCCCTGCCCTCCGCTCCCCGCCCCCTCCCCCTCCCTCCGCGCACACAAAGAGCCGGAGGGGCCGCCTTTCCCCCGGGGTTTGCGCCCCAAGATGGAGGCGGGCGCCCCCCATACCCACCCTGACGGGAAGGGGGCCGTGTGGGGCTGCTGCTCCGCCGGCTGTCAGGGGGCCAGGCGGCCGCGGCGGGGAGGATGACGGAGGATTGGGGAGGGCTGGTGGCGGCCGTGCCCGGCGCGTCCCTCCTTCGCTCAGCTCAGCTCGGCTCGGCTGGCTCAGCGCGGCGCGGCGCTGCCTGCCGCCTCCCGCCCGCTCGCCGTCCCTCCAGCCGGCGTGTGCTCAGCACAGCCCGGCGCTCACCCAGTTTCCATTGAGCCCCGGAGCCAAACCCACTGATGTCACCCAACGCAGCCCCGACCCTCCTCCTCCTCCACCTCCGCCCGCCATTAAAGGCGCAGCAGCCCGCCGCCGTTCCCGCTGCCCTCCCTCAGCGCCGGCGAGGGGGTGGCTTAAGCTATACAAGAGGTGGGTTTGGGGGGACTCTTCTACACAGCGGCCTCTGGGCTCCCCACTGAAGGTTTCTCCTCAGCAGGGCACTGAGGGGGAGAGTGGGGCAGCAACCCATACATTGCACCCTACAGCGGTGGGGGCTGTGGGGCAGCCCCAGTATGGTGCCATTGCCACCACAGCAGGGTCATGGGCCCCAGGTCCTCCATGGGGATGCTCACACAAGGGCAATGGGTCCCATCGTGATGGTGGCAGATGCCAAGCAAGGAAGACCCATGAGGCATCATAGCTGCTTCAACCTCCCACAGGGCTCGCCACCCTGCATCCCTTGGTAGCAGGGGGACACCTTCAGTGAAGCAGCTGTAAATCATCATGAGCATCATCATGCAAACATGAGCCGTAATGTGGACTGACAGAGGTCCGTGGGGCACCCACCAGCAGAGCCAGGGGTACCCTGAACACTCTGGGGTGTTTGAGGGCCAGAAGGCTACCATGCAAGCCCAGGCACAGCTCAGAAAGAGCCAGCTGGGTCAAGGGAGGTATATCAGACCCTCATGGCAGTGTGGGAGCAAAGCCTAGGCTTGGGGAGGTATTCTGGAGCTCTTGGGAGGTGGGAGATGGGAGATGGGGCTGGATGGGCAAAGGAGAATGGAGGTGCTGCTGCGAGCTCTGGGAACGGGAGCATGGGGGGAGGCTGGGGGCAACCCTAGGGTGAGAGGGAAGAGAACAGCGGGAAGTCCTGCGGAGCAAAAGCAAGGCACTGATAAGCTTCACTGGCACCTGGATGCTTCATCAGGGAGGAGCTGCTTCAGCACAGTCATCCCAAAGCCAAAAACTGCAGTTCATGCAGTTGGGCTGAGGGCAGAGGAGATAAGCGTGATGGGGGCCAGCTCAAGAGCCCCCATACCAGGCCAGTCCCAGAGTGCATCTAGCCCGGGACCCCTATGCCAACTTCCGAATACACAACATAAGCACAGATTGTTGGCACCAAGAGGCTCAAGCTGCAGCCCTGCCGGCACTGTGCAGTGCAGAAAGCCATCATTGCTTCAGGTTGTACCAAGATGGTGGGCCATGGCGCTGCCAGTCAGCACCACACTGAGCTGATGGGCCACTGAGACCTGGGAATAGTTCCTGTTTTATGCAAGCCTTTGGGAACCAGCAGTGTTTCCCTTTCTCACTACTGTGCCAGTTTTATCACAGGACTTTGTCTCTGTTTTGAGAAGTTAAATTTTAATTGAGCTTTTTGTAGTAATGACATTTCCTTACACATGCTCCATTGAACCTCTGTCATTCCGCAGCTTATGTAAAGGTGACCAGATGGGAAGGCAGGTAATGCAGTACGCAGCCACAGCTGAATCTAGTCGAGGGCTTGCCCCCTGCCCTGGGTGCAGGGTGCACATCAGCCGAGAGGGAATTTGCTAGAGCCCAACACAGCTCACGACTTGGCTGCAAGCAGCAGGCCTGTACAGGCGCTGAGCAGGGCGGATCTGGCAGAGAGGGCTCCTGGAAGGATGGATCTGAATCACATCCCAGGAGAGGCAGCTCTTGGCCTGGCTGGTGGGAGAGGGTTGGGGGTGATGCTGCATGGCAGGCGGGTGCAGGGTCTGTGGGGATGGTGGCCACATCAGCTCTCCCCATGATGCTGGCTGAGGCAGTGGGAAGGAACTGAAGAAATCCCAAACGTAGACACAGCCCTTGGGGATGAAATCAGAATGTGTGTACGGACACTTCAGCTACCTTTATTTTAATCATTTAGGACTTAAAATAAGAACTCTTTAATTAGAAACATTCCCTTAATTGAATTGTAATCAAGCTTTTAGTGCTGTTAGCCTGGCTAACCATGTGATCCAGTAACACCCACCTTCTTCTCTCCAAGCACTGCCTAGTTACACCTCTTCTAATGGGGTGATTTAGATAGGGAACATGAGCCAGGGGCTGCTGGTTTGGGCAACCTGCGTAGCAGCCCGTACTGCAGGGACCCCATCTCCATCAGCACTGTCTGTGCTCCAGTGGTAAACAAGTAACTCCTGCCGCAGTGTCTAAAAAAGATAAGTGCTACATGTTACACAAGCAGCAGGACCCCACCTAGAGAGCATTTGGGGTTAGGTTGGAAAGGGAAGGGAAGATGCTTGAAGGACAGGCAAAATCCATGCTCACAGTCTGGGTCGTCTCAGTTCCTCTCCAGTTACCAAACTGGTGTGAAACAGTAGCCACAAGCTTCTTTTCCTTTCTGTGTACCTTCAAAAATGAACTTCCCCTCAGGTCTAGCCCTGTGTTAGGCACCAGAATACAATAACAAAAGCCCACTAAAACTTTGTTTAAACATCTAGAAGGCTGTCTAACCTCCCAGACCCAGCAGTGAGCCACAGCTGCACTCCAAACCCCATGCCAGATTGAAACCTCAGGAGGCCTCACCTTGTCACTTTGCTGTGTTTTGCCTGGAAAGGATCTCTGGATGTAGAGCATGGAAGGGAGACGAGGTTCCAGCCAAGCCCCATTAGCTCAACAACTGGGGGACCTGCAGCTGGGACACCTGATGTTTACCTTTCATGCAGTTCAGATGTGGCCAAGGCATCTCTAGATTATCTATTGAGTGCTGCTGCTGAAGCCAGGCAAGCAGAAGATGGGTTACATGAAGCAGCTCTGCCTGCAGGCCCTTTGGCTGCTGTTTATGTGGAAGGTCCTTGGGCAGTGCTCACACTGCAGCCTTGTAGAGGGAACCTGCGGCAATGTGTCTTCAGCTGAGTCTTGTGTGCTGGTGTATGCAAGGGGGCTGTGTCTCACTGGACTGGACACCCAGCCACCCTCACTGCTGCCTGCCGTGTCATTCCTTGGGTAGGACAGGAAAAGAAGGGCTAGAATTGCCCTGTTTATTCACAGTGTCACTGCTGGGGGGGGGGGGGGGTGGCCTTTCAGAGTCACCATATACGATATTCATAGCACCTCATAAAACTTGTGGGAAAGCTGAGCTCCACTGCCCTAGCAGACCTCAGAGAACTGCCAGGTTGCGTTTGGCACCTCTGCCCGATCTGCAGGGAACAGATTCCCATTTCACCCACTGTCTGGAGAGGGTTATGCTGCCTTGAAGACCAAATCCACATCTTCACAGAGACTTGCCTGTGCTAGGAAAGTGGGAGGAATCAGGGAAAGAGCAGAGGAAACTTCAGCTCTGTGCTGAAGTTTCACTTCTGCAAGGCCAGTGAAAGCAAGAAAAGATGAGACGCGAGAACAAATGCATTTCTACCTGCAAGTCAAGAGCAGAGGTTCACAAGGAGGCAGGTGTCTCTGGCTTGACACATCCAGCAGAGCAGAACAAAGTTGTTCAAAACATTAACTCAGAGTTTATTCAGAACACGCAGCCCCCACTCAGAAAACACTGGTTAATATCCACAGGGTCTTTTTTACGGGACACACAATCTCATTTTTTGGTACTTCCCAAGTAATAATAGATTTGCCTTTTCAATACTCATACCAAGCAAGAGAGTAGAGTTTTAGAGAAGACTCAGCATTCCTGGAGGGATGGTCAAATGCAGCCTGCAAGGTGGGGATGCTGATCTGAGCACCTTGCAGGAGCGCTCTTCTTTTTAAAGCTTTTTCTACAGTCAAGTGCAAGTCCCCATTCACATGCATCAGGGAACAATAAATACTCCTGCAAATGAGACATCAGTATCCCAGGATAGCAAAAGGCTAAAAACAAAGCAAAATGCCAAAACAAATAAAGCACAGCTAATAGCTACCTCTGAAAAGGTTGCTGTGGGTGACTCCCTCAGCAGCAGGTAGGAAATCTGAGGCAGGGGCAGGGATCCAGACCAGCACACAACTGTCTCAGCAATGAGTCACTCCTTTTCCTTCACACATTTTGGGAAAAGAAAAATAAGGAGAAAAAGAGATGATGTGAGTCCCTGCAAACTGTCTTCATGGCACAGCCCAGACTCACCCAGAGCACCATCCAACCTGTGTGCTGCAGGTGTCCTGTGGAAAATAAATCTGCAGCCACATAATTAAAGACTCAGCCATAATTCATATGCATGAGGACATTGAAGGGCAGCTGTACAGCCAGCCTTGGTGCTGCCGTTTCTCAGTGATGAGAAATGTGTATTCTGCTATGACAGATAGCAGCAATGGCCTGTTGTCCTCAGCGGGCAGCAAAGCTGGCGAGAAGTGAGACGCGCTGGCTTTAGGGGTAACATGGCAGCAGTAAGGCTTGGGAGGAAAACTTGGGAAGGTACTCTTGTTTGGACACTGGAGAAGTCTGTGATCCCAGAAACACAGGCTGATAAGGCTGTCCTCGCTGCTTTCCTTGTCACCTCCAAACTTTCCCATTTCTGGCTTCCCTTCTTCAGGCTTGTCATGAAACCCTGGGCTCTGGGCTCAGCCACTGCCCCCTCTCAGGTCCACCTCACTTGCCCTTCCCTGCCTCTTCCTCACTGCACGCCCAGGCCCGGTCCGTGCCCAGACAGTACCAGTCTGGCTCAGGTGCGTGTCCTTGGACAGTCAATCCCAGCCTTCCCACCACATGCTGTTGCTCGCCACACAAGCTGCTCCCTGTCACTAGTCCAAGCCTTCCTGGGCATTCTGTCAGTAGTAGCTTCCCCCCATCCCCAGTCCCCATCTGCCACCAGAATTCCCCATTCCCCAGGCAAATGGTTTCAGGGCTGCCTGCCTTCCCCCCGCTACCCCAGCCGACCTCACTGCTGATCACCTCTCTTCTGCTCTTCCCATTCCCCATTTCTCATCACCATGCCCCTGTTCTTCCCAGTCCCTGTCTCACTGTCCTGGCCAGCTCTGCTTTCTGCTCCCAGTTCCCCTGCTGCCCAAGTCACTTCAGCAGCTCTCACACAACAGCCCCTTGCCCATCCAGCCCCACCATCTCCTAGTATCATCTGCCTCCCAGTCTCA